ACTGATGCGTCCGAAACGCTTTAACAACAATTTTCCGAATGCAGTGGTAGGGACTGCGCGCGTTTTGAGTCGCGGCGGATGCCTTGGCAAACTTTGTTGAAGCGCCGCGAAAGTGTTGGCAAAAACAAGGCCAAACGAAGACTGATACGCACCTATCTTTGCATTCGGAAACTTGTCTTGATAGCCTTACGGCCAAATTCTGCGATGTTTCTTTTCTGTTTACCAATACAATCAATACAAACTGCTGTGAGTGAGAGAGAGAGAGAGAGAGAGAGAGAGAGAGAGAGAGAGAGAGAGAGAGAGAGAGAGGGAGAGAGAGAGAGAGAGAGAGAGAGAGAGAGAGAGAGTGCGAGGGAGCGAGGCAGGGAGTGAGGGAGGGAGGGACGCGGGAGCCTGCGAGACTCGAGTTTGATGTCGTTCTTGAGATCTTCCAAGCAAACAGTCCCTGAGTGCAGAGTGGAACTTTTGCACAAGCAGTCCAAGTTGTTGCCATCGCAGACAGAGTCTTGGCCCTGGCAGTGTTTGAAAGCAAGGAAGTGTGCGCATGACTGCGAGGGCGCAGTGAGAGGATCAGAGCGCATTCTGTCACGGAAGAGCGAAAAAACTATATGTCTCGCTGACTCTTCCGTCTGACGTGGGCAAAAGTCTTGACCAGGATGGGCTATGATGACACGCCAGACATGCTGCGGCCCCAGTGTGTGTAAGAGCAAAGGGAGAGAACTCCCGACTGTAATGAATTCCTGCGTCATGCGAGGGCATCTGACACCTCCCGACTGTAATAGATTCCCTGAGTTATACGAGGGCGTGGTTGATGAAGTGGCCATTTGTTTCCAAGACGCAACCGGACTGGAGACCACGAGTAATCAGCTCATGGATAAAGACCCGGAGACCACTAGAATACACCAGAATGTTCGGCGGTGCCCGGTGCCGGGACATTTCAGGAGCGCAAAGCCTCGCAAAAACCGTGGTCCTGCAAATCCGTGCTTTAGATTAATAATTCTATGCTCCCACAGCGGTTTTGAAGGACCCCAGGTGTCACCTTGCAGTTCTGGTCTGCCGTGGTCCTGCGCGGTCCTGCGGTAGTGGTTTCTGCAATGAGAGCAGGTCCAGATAGGTAGAGGTTGGGTCCTGCTCCGTTCCTGCGCAGCGTTTCGCAGGCTTAAACAGTGGATGCTGCGTATCATGTCATGAAGAATCCTGTCAAAGCAGCGTCTAAAGCCCAGGGGTTGTCGGTAGTCATTCTGCCAACGGGGCCCTCCAAACCAGAGACTTCCTCAGTTCTCGGGAGCAGCACAGGATGACATGTTGGACGTCGTAGGCCAAGAGATCGTCAACATGTTCTGGTCTTGAAGCCATAGCCTGCTGTTAATTGGTGAGTACCGTGCATGCGAAGCAGGCATTTTGCCGAAGCCATGTTCCTTTTGCCCGCAAAACGTCGTCGTTTGCAGGGCAAGCAGAGCCCGCCCGAGGGGGCAAACACCAGGGAAGCACGGACGCAGGTGCAGACCTTGGTCCGAGATGCGTGGGTGGCGAGGAGAATGGTCGAGGAAGGCTCACATGGGCACGCGCGGCGTAACATCTTGCGTGTGGAGTTTAGTAATGTGGAGCAGAGAGCTCCATTGCTAGAGGCCATGTGGGGCCGAATTCCCGTGCATCTCATGGCAGCGGCCAGGGCTGTTTTGGCCGCTTGGCGTACAGAACAGCCTATAGTGATGAACGAGCAGCCGCTGCCTTCCTATCGAGGTTCTGGCACAATGTTCAGATACAGTGGTTCCTGGTCCAAGATCCCAGATGTCAGGGCCAGCGCAATGCTGGCAGAAGGCGACGCAAGGATTGCCGATGTGTGTCGCCTCTTGCAGGACAATGCCGATGTTGCAGCCCTTTGGAGAGATTTCCAACGTTTTGCCGAGCAGCTACGGCAAAGCAGCAAGATGGATCGGTTGACTTTGGCGTGTGAGCTGCACACAGCTGTGAGTCTGGACACGCTGACGCCCAGCATCCACTTCCATCTCATGTTTGACTCCAGATGCTTGGCGCCGGCGCAGTTATTCTGAACTTTTGTCCAGATCCAAGTTCTGAATTCTTCGTCATACGTCCCCTTGTGTTTTGAAATCTTGATGGAGCGTGAAAATTTCAGCCACATGCAACAGGACTTGTCGTCAACAGTGTTCCTGGTAGGCCAGATGATCCCCCATGCCCCTTTTGCTCTTGATGTAGCAACAAGGACAGACGGTGACGCTGCCGAAGCCCAGTCTGTTGTTTCGTGGCGCCGTTCCGCATCAGTCTGTGGAGTGCAAGCAAGCCCGTGGGAAAGCTTGCCGAAAGGCCTACGACCAGGGGCACTACTACCTGCAGGTGCCAAAGACTGGCTCCATTCATATGACGACGACAGCAGCAGCCTTCACCACCTTCCCTGTTGCTCCGGATTGGATCACCAACTTATGGCAGGCCTGTAAAATCACGGAGCAGGTTGCGGAGCAGGAGTATTTGCGCTGCAAGAAACACGTGAAAGCCTACTTAGACAACATGAAGTTCCATGCCCAATGCGTGCAGACACAGGTCGTCAAAGCGAGGAAGGCGCAAGATCTCCAGGAGCTTCAGCCCCTCATGAAAAAGGCCGTCGTGATCGAGCAAGTCCAGCGTGACTTCCTTCCACAATTTACCCGACCCATGTTCAGAAGGAGCTTTTTGGTCCTAAGTGGACCCACGCGCCTTGGCAAAACAATCTTTGCCCGCAGTCTCTTCGGTCATCGCGAGACACTAGAACTCAACTGCTGTGGAGTGAGTCAACCTGATTTGCGTGCCTTTGACAATTTGCTGCATCGAGCCATCTTGTATGACGAAGCTTCGACGGCTATGGTGCTCAGCAACCGTCGCCTTTTCCAGGGATCTACAGAAGAGGTCACGCTCGCTCATTCTGGAACAAACATGTTCACCTACAGTGTGTACGTCTACAACGTCGCCATGATCCTGACATCGAACTCTTGGCTACGTGAGCTGGAGGAATTGCCGAGAGAGGAGCGCGAGTGGCTCGAAGGTAATTCAATTTGTATAAATTGCACGCAGCCGCTTTATGAGACGTAACAGCCAAGACACGAGAAAGCTCTGACCGTTCCGGAGATGTTAGAGGCTTCTGAAGCCCGCGAGCCAATCCGAAGCGCGGAGAACTGCAAGGTCCGAGCTCTCAAGGAACAGCCGGTAGCTGCGAGCCCTTCAACCCCAATCTCCAAGCCCTAACAGCGGTCAAGCTCCATGGAGCACACCTCGGAACAGCCGGTAGCCCCGAGCCCTTAAACTCGAAGCCCTAACACCGGTCAAGGTCCACGGAGTCACCTGCAGCTTGATGGACGTGGCCTCGGAAGCGTCATGTAAAGTATGACGAGTTCCGAACAACAGAGAGTGATGGTTCCAGACATTGTGTGTATATGTGGAGAGAGAGAGAGAGAGAGACAGAGAGAGAGAGAGAGAGATAGATAGATAGATAGATAGATAGATAGATAGATAAATAGTGCGCGCGTGTATGTGGGTAGGTGTGTATGTGCGTGCGTGTGTGTGTGTGTGTGTGTTTATTGGGAGTTCTCTCACAGTATTCTTTTCCGTGAAATGCTGTCAACTAGACGGGTGCATACATGTTCCGTCTGCTTTGTTTTGGTTCCCTCCAAGTCCTAAATCATGCATCGTCTTGCAGATACGCTTTTCTCTAAATGTTTGGCCGTCAAAGGCTAGAGGAGTGCATACATGTTCCGTCTGCTTTGTTTTGGTTCACTCCAAGTCCTGGATTATGCATCGTCTTGCAGATACGTACCGGAAAACATGCATCGTCTTGCAGATACGCTTTTCTCTAAATGTTCGGCCGTCAAAGGCTAGAGGAGTGCATGCATTTACCGTCCGATGGGTTTGGTTCACCCCAAGCCCTAAATTATGCATCGTCTTGCAGATACGTGCCGGAAAACATGCATCGTCTTGCAGATACGCATTTCTCTAAATGTTTGGCCGTCAAAGGCTAGAGGAGTGCATGCATTTTCCGTCCGATTTGTTTTGGTTCACTCCAAGTCCTAAAGAATGCATCGTCTTGCAGATATGGTGTCAGGTCTCGTGCTGTGTAAACGGTTTGTACATGCAGCAGATCCAAGCTTCCACGCGCCGCTGCAGGTCTGTCTAAATTCATTGTGACCGGGTGGCAGCCTGAGTTGAGACGGTCTTCAGGCACATTATCACATCTTGGACTGCAACCAGTCTTGCAGACGTGTCCTGGTGTTGGATATAGTGCTGTGTAAGCTAGGTTTCCCACCCTTCCGGGGGCCGAGGATAGTAGCCTTTGACCCCATGGGCGCATCCCTGGAGGTCGCTCTTGTGAAGATATGCTCCGTGGCAGAGGCATGTTGTGCAGCGCGAAAACAGCTGGAAAGACAGTGGTTTGGGCGTGCAAGATCTGCGCAGAGTGTTTTCTCCCTGCCGCACTGTCCATTTTTGTGGCCTGTCCGTCTTAGCAAAGGTCCAAGCAAGCCTTGCCGAGCTGGTCTTTTTCCGTAAAGAGGCCTCGCAGGTGACGTTGTTTAGCGAGGTTGTTCTGCTGCAGAGTGTCGCAGGAACAGTTGGAGGCTGATGCTGGATTCTTCTCTATGTACAGAGGCTTCTCTATGTACAGAGGCCAGGTCTGTGTCTGCTTTCCTTCTGGACCACATTGGGTGTGTCTTTCTGCGAGGCACCGCTGTTGCTGGACGCACGTTGCGGACGAGGTCCTGAGGAGCGGTAGCTTTGGAGCACAGGCCTGGTGGCTGGAGAAAGGTTCATGCGGATTCTGTGTGCTTGTGTGGGCGTGCCGGATTACAGACATGCCATGAACGCAGAAGGGCTGGACGCTCTCTACCAACTGGGTTTCTGCAGCTGTTTTGTAGCTGTGGCCAGACCTCGTTGCGTGGGGACCTGAAGGCGCGGAGCAAACCAAGTTTCTGCGGTGTGGAAGAAAGCTGATGCATGACACAAGGTGCTGGGTAATGCCTCCGAAGCAGAGCGACCAGCAGGTAGGCTTCTGTAGTTTGATCATGCTTGGTTGGAATGCCAAGCTATGCTTGTTAGGTACTGCACCAAGAGCTTCTGCGTCTGAAAGAGACGCGCAAGGCCTTGAAAGCAGAGCTGCGCGAGCAGTCGAAAGAGCATCGGAACCTGATGGCACGACGCAAGCGCCTCCTGCAGGCTCGCGTAGAGCGACGCCGTGTGATTTCGCGTTTCTGGCTTGCTGGCCAAGCCAGGCCACAAAGAACTTAAGCAACGAAGACCTCCAGCTGCTGCTACGTGCGCGAGAAGGTTTGGTCCAGACTCTTTCTATTATAGTAGACTTGTGGGTGTACTTCGGGGAGGCGTTGCTGCTGCTGCCCCCAACGGTCAACCTCTCGCTGACAACGCAGGCAGGAATGCGTGGGAACGTTGTTGTCACACACACACACAGACACACACACACACACACACAGACACGCACAAATTGCCGACAGGTGGCGGTGGCGCAGGAGAGCCTGCAGGTGAGAACGCATGTCCTGTCTCATGCGTCGTTCGGTCTAGACAGTTGCGTTGGACGTGTGGTGTCTGCTGGGTCGACCAGAGTTTTGCAAATCCAGCAAAGCATGATGTGCGGTGCATGCATGCAGGAGCGGGCGCTGAGCGTTGAAGGCTCTGTGGCTGGCGTTGCTTTTCCTAGACTGTGCGTGATTGGTTCCGGTGTTGATTTGGCCTGTCTGGAGCAGCCTGGCCTGGGGGGGCCTCCCCGGTACTCGTGCATAAGTCCAGGCAAGCAGCCGTGCAGGGAGTTTCTATGCCTTAGTCGCTTCTGTCTGGGGTGTTGGACCAGAGCCTTGGGGACCCAAGTTCGTGGCAATCGCAGCTGAAGTTGGTTTAGCGTTCGATTCGGCTCGCGCGGAGCCGCTTCTTCCAGCACCACTGGAGTCAGGCGAGTGGAGCCAGAGAGCAGTGACCACAGATGGCTGGGCAGTGGCTTCGTGCGCTACTCAGCCGATGCAACAAATGCTCCGATGGTGTGTCAGGGCATTCGCTTAAGGCTACCACTCTTGATTGGTGCGGCAAATATGGAGTCAGCGAGCAAGCTCAAACCCTTCTTGGTCACCATGCCCTCAAGGGTTCGTCTATGTATGCTTATATGCGAGACAAGCTTGCAGCACCACTGAGAGCTTATGACGGAATGCTCCGAAGCATTCGGCATGGTCTTTTCATTCCAGATGCAACTCGTTCTGGGTTATTCAAAGCTGAAGGTGAGGCTCATGTCATGGAGCTCGGCCATGAGCCCAGGCTCAGCACGGCCACTCCTCACTTGCATGATGGTGGGGTTTTCGGAGATGAGACCCCTGTTGGGTCTGAAGGCGAGGCCCAGCACTATAGCAAGACTGCATGGACGCCTGAACGGGAGGCTCAGTCTTTCCTTGATAATCAATTCACGGGCGAAGCTGAGGACGAGGCTGATGGAGTTGAGAGTCGGGCCCCTGAGCCCGCGCCAGGTTCTTCGTCTTCTTCATCGTCGAGCGTTCCGATGGGGAGCCCGGGACTGACTGGGTTGATGCCTTCGATTCTGGGCTCGGGGGTTCCTTTGAGAAGTCTAACCTCACTGCGCCTGACATGGAATTTTGGAGACATGATAAACTATGACCATCCACTCCATTGCGGTCAGTGCTTCTGGAGGTGTGTTCACTTGTGGTCGTAAGAGAACAGGTGATTACTCAAAGGTGACGCAAAGCGCTTTTCTGGAGACTCGTCTTTGTGTCAATTGCAAGAAGAGCAAACCTTTGAGAGACATCGGATCTTTGAATGCTGTGTTGGCTAAAAGCTTGAAACGATGATTTCTATGCCACGGCCTGAGTTGCTCCACAAAGAGTGGTTGCCGGGAAGTCCGGCCGACTTAAGGTTGGGTGCGAGGTGCACCCAGCTCAGTCTGTTAAACAGTCGAGCATCCGATGTGCAGCCCAAGGGATTTCGTGGCCAGTTCGAGTGAGCCAATCCTGGGCTCCGGGAGGTTCGAGGTGCAGTGCGGGCAAATTTTTTGCGGAGTGCGAAAGGAGAGCCAAATGGATGCACGAGGCACCTGGGGGCTTGATCGAGCGTTGTGTCGAAACTTGCTGTGGCAGCAAAGGCAGATTTCTGACTTGCGTGTTTTTTTTTTGCGCTTAAGATTTTAATTTTCGTGAACCGGGCAGATTGCGAGGTGCAATGGCAGGGTTGCCTGTGGCGACGTCCTTCACGGAATCCAAGGCTGCTTTCGCTAAGAGGGCTTTGGAGGTCGGGCTCGCGCAAGCCGAAGTGGACCATCTTGTATCCAAACAGGTTGACACTCTCTCGAAGTTAGCTTTTGTCTTGGTTCCTCCCGGGAAGGTTGCTGAGGACAGTGCAGTCGTTGGGCTACTCCCAGCAGGTTCAAGTCAAGGAGCTATCGCAGGGCTCAAGCGGCTTCTTTTCGAAGCCCATACATTGATTGTGTCAGCCCTCAAGCAAAAGGTGGAGCGCACTGAGGAGTCCTTGCCTCTCACTCTTGACATAGCCGAGCGAGAAGATCGTCTGGCCAGCCAGAAAACACGTTTGGGCGGGTTGACCTTTCAAGGTGAAGAGGAGGTCGCTCATGGTGCATACGACCTTGTCTTCTCGATGGCCCAGAAGAACGAGCTCATTTGGTTGGTGCCTGAGAAGTTCAACACACGGCGTGCAGAAATCAGTGCAAAGAAGCCTTCTAAAGAGCTCGTCATAGATGGGAGCGGCGTTGCAGTAAAAGATAAGCCCCAGGTCCTTAACTGTGCCATCAACTCTGACTTAGACTTGGTGTTGGCCATGCGCCGCAGAGCGCTTGCATTCGACCTTGTTGGGCTCATGAGTTTTGATGTGGCTAACCGCTATCATCAGGCACTTGTTCAACGTCTCCAGGAGGCTCCTCCTCCCAGCTATGCAAAGGTCTCTATTGCTCAGGTTCTCCGAGCCGATCGAGCGGCATTCCTCAGGTTGGCGGAGTTGTTGCCCAGTTTGCGCCGCAGCGGCGCGGGCAAGCTTCCTTTGGACGAGCAGCTTCCCAACATCTTGCTCGACCCTTCAGT